TAATTACTCTCATGTGCCTGCAATCCTCTTCCCCCTCGCCCCCAAATCCCCCCTTTTTTGTTTGCATTCTTTTTCACCTAAAATTACAACTTAAAAGAATTTGGTCACCTGATACGAATTATGATAACTTCCCTCTTTCAGCTTGTATTGAGCAAGAAATGATCTGATGCAGAACTTGATGGGACTTTGCCTATTGAAGTAATCCCTACAGCTGGAGGTTGCACAAAGTAATATAGTAAGAAATAGAGTTAATAAAATTGTACAAATTGAATCTTAGTACCTAAATTCTGTACAGTTTATGATGGTATGGTTTTCTTCAAACCTTAATGGTTGTCAATAGGTCAGGGGCACTGATTGCAGTCTTTTGTCTTCAATTCTACAGTTCATACAAAATTTTCATTATCCAAGCATTGTATTAGTGTGTCTAATTTGCTCAATCTTCAATCGTGATTATTTTCAATCCATGTGGCTGTCAAATTCAAGTTAATACAAGATTGATGATGAGATATATAAAAACAGAAAATTAAAATGCTAAATTCGGTGCTTGAACTTTGAACTTTGTACTTTTGTAGTCCCTGCACTAATTTGGTACTTGAACTTATCATAGAATTCTATATTAGTTTAGGGAAGTTGGGAAGGGTACTTTTTGTGCACTTCTAAAAGTTAATGAATGAAAAAAGGTGTTTAGATTAGTTTAGGTATAAAGAAATGCAAAATTTAAGGTTTAGAGATTAAAATCAACATATGACCGAAATAGAAAGGATGCTGAGCCACACATTCATGGCCCATGGGAAGGCTCTTGTCACAACGGAGATAACAAATTTACAGCCAATGCTCTGCAAACAATAAATGAGAGGGTAGAAGTTTGTTTCGTCACACCAACCACCCTTGCTGCATCTAATCAACCCCTAACCGCCAACCGACTAAAATTTATTGCGTAAAATCCATTAAAAAAAAAGTACAATTCAATCAATTGTTTTTTTTTTTTTTAAACAGTGTGGATTTTTTTTTTCAGGAAGCGAAAAGATGGCTTGGGATTTGATCCAAGCTATTTAATCCTAAGCACGTCCTAGCAGGCAGGGTGGTCGTTGGCCACCAAGTGCTGCACATTCAATCTATTGTATTAGTTTAAACATTCATGGAAGAACTAACTCAGGTAGCATGGTTCATTATTTTTGAGTTCATTCCTGGGTTGAAATGTCAATAATATTTTTACTTAGTTTGGCACAATAAATCATGGAAGTTAAGTTAATAAAGAGTTAATTTCTCATACATTTGTTAATTTTAATATAGATAATTTACTTTTAATCATGTTAAGAAGAGATTAATCTTAAAGTAAGCATAAGTTAACCTGAGGATATTTTAACTATTAAATTATAAAAAACAAAATCATGGGTGGGGTTATTGCCACAGCCACTAATGTTAATGCCACAGCTTTTTTTAGTTATTTGACTATTATACCCTTCATTTGAATCCAACTTGCAGCAGTCACCACCTTCTCCGCGTGGGTTAATGGTCAAATAACTGAAAAAAGCTGTGGCATTAACATTAGTGGCTGTGGCAATAACCCCACCCCAAAATCATTATTGGTATTATTAATATAAAAAAATAGTTTACAATCTTATACAACATTAATTATTAGATTAAGAAAGTTCTAATATTGAAAGAGAACCTTCTATCTAATAATAATTGATTTTTTTAATTCAGTATAATATAAATAGTAAAATATTAAACTCTATTAATATTTTAGACTGTTATTTTTCCTATTTAGATAAAAAAGAATATTTTTGTTTTTTTTGTTTTTGTTTTCTTTGCATTATTTTGACCATAAATGCTCATAGTAGTAACACGTTAAAACCTTAATTTCGAATTAAAGATTCAAACTTTTCATGGTTAACAGCTAATTTTGTTTTAAAAAAATTAAAACTTGATTTTTAAAAATAGAAAAAAGTGTTGTGCACCACAACAAGTTACTTCCAAATATTGAAATAATCCATGAAATTTTGGGCATAATTGCTTGCCTTAGGTGGGAGGATTCATGATAAAGACTGTTGTACAGGTAGTAATTTCACCATTCCCCACAGTATATAACAACTCCTAATGCCCAACTGAATTTCGTCAAGTGCCTTCACCCACCCGCCACATTGTAGCGTAAAATGGCGCGGCATCCCATAGCGGAGGCCAACGAGCAGAGCCCATTTGGCTCGTTGACACCGGAGGAGTTCCACGCACGCCACTCGGTGAGTCATTCCTCCGAGTTCATCACCAACGCTCGTGGGCTCAAGCTCTTCACTCAGTGGTGGACTCCAGTGGACGCCCCGGTGATCGGTATCGTAGCTGTGGTCCACGGCTACACCGGTGAGTCCAGCTGGCTCATTCAGCTGACTTCCGTTCTTTTCGCCGAATCAGGATTCGCCACGTGTGCTATCGATCACCAGGGCCACGGTTTCTCCGACGGTCTCGTGGCTCATGTGCCGAATCTCGACGACGTTATTGACGATTGCATACAATTCTTCGACTCCTTCCGTGCGCGCTATGCGCCGGATTTGCCAGCGTTTCTGTACGCTGAATCGCTGGGAGGCGCTATTGCGCTTTACATCACGCTCCGTCAAAAGGGCGCGTGGAACGGATTGGTACTTAATGGTGCCATGTGTGGCATAAGCGCTAAGTTTAAGCCTCCGTGGCCGCTGGAGCACTTCCTATTCATAATCGCGAAGCTGACCCCCACGTGGAGCGTGGTCCCAACGCGCGGATCCTTGCCGGATCTTTCCTTCAAGGAGGAGTGGAAAAGAAAGCTAGCAATGGCGAGCCCAAAGAGGCCCTTCATGAGGCCACGGGCCGCCACGGCATACGAGCTATTACGTGTGTGCAAGGACTTGCAGGGGAAGTTTGAGGAAGTGGATGTGCCGCTGCTGATCGTGCACGGTGAAGAGGACGTGGTGTGCGATCCAGCCTGTGTGGAGGACCTAAACCGACGCGCCAGTAGCCGGGATAAGACGATAAAGATTTACCCCGGGATGTGGCACCAGTTAGTCGGGGAGCCAGAGGAGAACGTGGATCTGGTCTACGGTGACGTCCTGGAGTGGCTTACGAATAGAGCTTCACCCGCTGCGCAGGCGAATGGTTAGGTAGCGGCCGCCGCGCCATAGACGGTGGCTCTGCATAGAATTACTCGTTATTCTCGATGCTAAAGATATTGTGGTATGTAACTACTAATGGCAGTATGCCATGTGTCTGTACTCCATCTCGTAATATTTTTCAATAAAAAATAAGTATATTTCTCTTCTACATTTGTATCTTATTAAAGAATGATTCTTTTCAAACAGGACCCTGTATCAATTGTTAAAAAAATGTAATTCACATAGAGCAAATTGGAAAATATCATTCTCAATTCCTAATTCCATGTAAATTGTGAGATGCTGAGAGTTTTTAGAGGGTATGTGGACTAAGAAGCATCTTGGAAAAGGTCAGTTAGATCAATTCCACTTTCAAGGAGGAAAAAGGGCGGAGAAATTAGATATTGCAATTCATCTGTTTTTTTGTTTTTTTGTTTTTTCTTTGTCAATGATCTTCTAACAAGTTTACAGTGTCTGGCTATGGTATGGTTCATGTTGGGGATTTGCATTTGCTGACCAAATTTGTTTGGGAGTTATTGGTGACAGGATATTTGTTTTCTTTGCATTGCAATTTGCATCACATTCTTGGAGGAAATGGACCAGATTTTGGGTCAGATGGAGTTTAGGGTCTCCCTAACGGAGTCGACTATGATGCGCATCCTGCAGTGTGCAATGGACAGGGCACATGAGAAGCTGAAATCTAAAAAGGGAGTTCTTGAGGGCTTGAATGGGATATCGAAATTCTATGAATTGGCAGTGATGCAATTAGAGGGGTGTTTGAAGTTTGTTCAAGAAGAAATGGACAGAAATCCTCTTGAGAGCAATTATAATGATGTGCTCTTGGACTTGATGGAAATCAAAGATCGTCTTCAAGGTCGTATTAGAGAAGCTGACCTTGCTATCTCCGAGAAGGATCGTGAATTGATGGAAAGACTGGCAAATGAAAAGAAGCTTAGGCAGGTACTTAAACTGAAAGAGAGAGAAGTGGGTTCGTTGCGTGCCGACCTTGAACTTGAGAAGACAAAGAGTGGGGAAATTGAGGAGCTCATTCTTAACAACCGTGTAACTACTGATGAAGAAAGGGAAGGTCAATTCTGTGAGCTGAAGAATTCAGTTGATCAGCAGGTATGGAACATCAAACAACAGCTTGAACCTGACCCTTTAGTCACAGATGAGGACAGAACCCGGGGTATTGAAAACAGAAAAGTTGAGCAGATGGGTTCAGATATCAACATTTTGAAGGATACTTTGGATCTTGCTTTTGGCAAGATGCACAATGCCATGTTCTTGTCAGAGCTTGGGCCAGTAGAGCACCAATGGAGGTGGAAGATTGAGAGAGTTACAACTGCTACAGTGATTAAAGGTTCTCTGAAGGATTTCCAGGAGAAATTTGAAGAGGAAGTTAAGAAGCGTGAGATGCAAGTTTCCATGGACTTGAGCAAGAACTTGTCAGGTATTATAAGGGAGATGACTTGCTTGCACCACGAGCTTGAGCTTCTTAGTTACCAGGATGAGGTTGAAGTAGAAAACACAAAAGGCTCTAAGACTCCACCTCTTGTACCCCATCCTAACCCTCCAATTAAGAGTTCTTTAAAAGCAAGAGGGGAGTCTTCATCGGCCGGTAACAGTGATGAATTTTACTCCTTCAAGGTTGAAGAAGGGCAAATGGAACAGGCAGCTGGAAAGGATCTGAAGGAGGATGCTGGCCTTGTTGCAAAGATGATTAAAAATCATGAATCCATAATCCGAAGAAAAAGTGAAGAACTGAATTTCTTTAAGCCAGAAATGTTCCAAGAAAGAAGGTACCCTTCTTTCAGGAGAGAGAAGGAATCTGTTAGCCTGAAAAGAAGGATCGAAGGAGTTATGGTGAGACTGGAGAGTTTAATCAACTGGAGTTCTAGGCTTGGTGATATTTGTGGTGATTGTAAACAAGATTACAGGGAGGAAAGTAGCCCAGAGAAGAGGTTATTTATAGCTGATATGGTATATGATGAAAAGTCAGGCATGGAAAGTATGGAAGAAGTCTGGGCAAAGTTGAATAAAACCTGTGTGTCTCATGCAGTAAATGAAGAACAGTACAATGAAATGAGGATGCTGAAACAGGAACTGGAAGATGCAAACCTGCTAGCCATAATGATGGAAGAGACTTTTTTAACAGTTTTCAAAGGTTTGGTTGATGAATTTCACATTAAATTACTTAATCAGCAGTTATGGAACCTAGTAAAAGAAGGTATGCGTGAAAACTTCATTGAGGAAATAACAAGTGAATGGGATGAGAAAATTGAAGGTAACAGAATTGAAGCACAAATAATTGAAGAGATATATGGTGCTGTCTTTAGGGAGGCAACAAAGGATTTTGGCTCAAGTCAGTTATTGGCAATAGCTAATTGTCAGGGTACAAGGAAAGGGAATAGTTGCTTAGGAAAACCAATATCTGCCTGTGTGGTGGATAATTTGGGGGGCACCTTAAGGGAGGACACAGGTACATTTCTTTTCCAGGAAATATACAGGGAATGGAATGGTGACATAGAAAGTTATATGTCTGAAACCCTTATCAAGGAAAAGATATATCTGATTGTCTTTGATGAGATCATAGGAGATATTATCAACACTGCAAATTTCGCATTAAGCAAACTGCAAGAGACCAAGGCCACCAACAATTTTTACCACAGTTTCCATCCCAGCAACAAGTCTTCTGAAAATGTAGACATGTTGATTGAGGATGATATCTGGAAGGTTTTGCTCAGTGGAATGGTTGGGGAATGGAAGATGAATTTAGATGATTTTAATATTGAGAGTCTAATTAGGGAAGACTTGCACCAGTTTGTCATTGTTGAGACTGTGAAAGAAACTTTTAGCATTTCTGGGGAAGCTGAAACCCAGAAGCTTGAAAAAATTTCAGAGAACTTGTTCCAAGCTGACAAGTTATGTGGAAGTCCAAAGGATTGTTTAGGAAGGCATTTGGAATTGGAGGAAGGTATGCAGCTAAGTACCTGTTCTGAAATTAAGGAACAGAATTTGTGCCTTGACCTTGTGGGATTGAAAAATGAAGGTTTGGATGAGCACCAGATCTTTCAAAAAAGGCTTTCTGAGGAAAGTGTTTATACTTCTGCGAACAGCAAACTTGAGAAAGATTTGAAGCAGTTTGGTTTATGTAAGGCACATTTTAGTCCATATGCACACAGATCAGGTATAGCAGTTGGGGATCAAGAGAGGGTTGATAGATGGATGAACCTGACTGTTGGCACTACACATAAGTGGCAGCTATTCATTTCACAATCAAAGGATACCAAGGAAATAGAAACATCCAAGTCTCTGTTGAACCCCATCCCTGAAATGTCAGAAGTACTTAAGGGGTTTGAGGCTCCTTTATGTAAAAGATTAGATGCAAATATCATGAGGTAATTCTATGCTAACACCCGTATGCTCATCACTCCACCAAGACTATTGCCAGTGTCATTTGTATTTCATTGCGAAAGATGGTTTTAGTGTGAGCAAAGTGCTTTATACTTATATACAGGTTAGATGAAATGAAGCATCAGCTGGATCTGCTTGTTGAACTCACCAAATCACTAAGAAAAAGGGAGTCCCTTTACAGGAAGGCGTTTCTCAGGAGATGTGAGAATCTACGGAAAGCTGAGGCAGAGGTCCTGAGCTCCACTTGTGATTATTTCTTCCTTTTCTACACAAGACAAGTTCTTGACTGAGTGGTTTTTTTAATTTCAATTCAACTTAAGTCTCCAAAACTTATTGGCTTTTGTTGCCCTTAACTTGTGTGGAGATATATATAGGTGGATCTTCTGGGAGATCAAGTAGATGCACTTCTAGGACTGCTTGAGAAGCTATACAGGACACTATGTCAACATTCAGTGGTATTCCAGCAATATTTTGAGGTGAGTCATTTTCTATTTTCTGAAGCTTACACTTGGTATTACAGGCAGGGCATGATTTATCAATCGGTATCATTTTGACCGCAGGTTGGAGAAATTCTGAAGCTGATAAAGAAAGAACTAGTTGGAGGAATGAATGCTTGAAATGGCTGATAAAAACAAGCAGTGCTGTATAATCATTAAAGCCAATGCCCTTTTCCCTCCTAACCTTTGCTTCCTGAATGAAGGCTTACTTTACATGTGACCTGGTATGCACCAACCATTCAAAGAAAGGATTTTGCCAACCATTTGTCAAGAATTAATGATTCAACTTTGTCTTTGTTAATTTATTGCTTGCCCTCTAAAATGATGTCTTCACACATTGAATTGTCTGCAGGGGAGATAGGTTATACAAAGGATCTTTCACAATCAATCCAATACAATGCCAAGTAAACAATTTTTACTTGAAAGAAGTAAAAACAAATAGAAGATTGTATGCATTCAGGCAAAGTCAACCGAAGCAAGGAAGTCTTCTCTGCTCGAAAGAAGTACAGAACAAGTCCATTCATTCCTCGGACGACTAATGCAATGATATTATGAGAAATTTAAAACAAAGAGCAGACAAAAATCAAGATCTCAATTTTCTGGAACTTAACGAGCCACAATGTCAACAAAATATTCTGTAAATTCTTTCTTAAACTATATAAGCCATCCATCTTTCTAAACTGTCTCGAGACCCCAGTTCCATTCTTGACAAACCCAAAATGCTCCAGTTGGTGCGTTTGAATAGTGACGTTGCATGAACCATGAAGTGATGCAAGTTAACTCAAACAGCACAATCAAGTCCACTCATTCCATTTTGCACAACAATATGTGTTGTCCCATATGGCAACCCATAAGGGATGAATTGGGTTTCAAAAATCTTATGCAATTTTTGGAATAAAGCAATGATCAAGCACAAACAATAAATAAGCTGTTGTAAACTAAATTGCAAGAATTAAAAGATTAGGGTAAGAAATATTAAACGTTTTAATTTATCTTGGTTTGTCACCCTCTTTGGTACCTATGTCCAATCCTAAAGTTTTCAACGCTTGAGATTTAATCTATTAATATTAGTTTCAACGAGTATTAATAAAACCGATTACAATAGCTTGCTAGTGCTATTAACCGTTTAAATTTCTTGTTACAAATCTCTCAACCTATCTCATATCTTAAGGATGGATTATTAGATCAAGATTTTCCCAATCCCTTTCTCACTTGTTACAATAAAAGAGAATAAAAAAAAAAAGATTTCATAAAACACAAAGTAGAAACTTAATCACTTTTGGTTTTTCAACTTGAAAGCTTTGTGCTTTTCCACTTTTCCAGATCAGATACTATAGCTTCAGAATGCTTAATCAGTGTTTTTTTTAACTGTTGGAGCCCTTTTTGGAATTAATATATTCCAAATATGATAGATAAATCAATGTCCCAGCACAAGGAGTTGAACCTGCCTTCAGGGGTTGAAAGCTGGAGAATTTTTTATATTAACACTTCAAAAAATAGAAATTATCAAAGGTTGGAACCTATAGAATACACTTTCTGGTTTTGGCTTTTCACAATAAAGAAATATAATCATATAATTAAATAGGCTTTCACAAAAAAAAAAGAAAAAACACACATTTAAAATTTAAAATTTAAAAATTAATTCAATATTACTAAGAATAAATCATATATTCATGAGTAAATTAATTTATAATCCAAATCAGTTCAATAACTAATATAGTACAATTTACATTTTGTCATCAAAATCAAGAACGAACAATATCATCCCAAGACAAAGCAGCTGGAAACTAAGCTCTTATTCAAGCTTAACAAACTTTAATTCTCGCCAAGTTTCTCCTCTGTCTGATTCAGGTTTCTCTGTTTACCCTGTTCTTCCGAACTTGAGTTACATTGCTTGATTCCCATGGCAACTTCCTGTGAACTGCTTTACCATTTTACTTTATCTTCACAATGCATTATCTACGTCTCAACAGGGACCCGCATCAAGCCCAGTTGCTGGTTTACCCTTACCTGATTCTCAACCACCATCTCTGTCGCCACCATTGACATCATTTCCGCCTCCTCCAATATCCAAGCTGCCATGAAATCCAAAAGGGTTCTCAAGTGCGCTCAGAGGCAGAAAGAAGGCAGGAATAGCAATTGGAGTCCTTGCTGGGGCTGGAGTGTTAGTCTGTTGCGCCATGGTCTATAAGAAACGCCGCGCCAATATCGGATGGAGCAGACATGGTTTAGCAGCAAGAAGTCATGTTGCTTGATTTCCCCCTTTTTTTTTTTCTTTTTTCTACTGACCTCTGGGAATCCGATACTAAATTTCAGTTCGGTTAATATGGAATCGAGCGGCTGCAATTTGAAGACAAGCTCTCTCAATATTTTATTTTTTATTTATAAAATTTAAATTAAAAATATTATTAAAAAATAATCAAACTCTTTTCATTTATTATTAATTTGTATCGGATTCGTGAGTATTAGGCAGAAAGACACTTATTATTATTTCATTTTAATAAAAATATATAAAAAATTAAAATAATCAGATTAAGGTTTTTAAAAACTAAGATGTTTTAATTTTTTTATAATAAAAATTTATTACAATTATATAATTTTAAAATATTTTTTATCTAATTTTTTACGAATACAATTAATAAATATTTTTTTAATTTCTATTTCCCCAAATAAGAGAGAAACAGTTTCACGTGGAACACAGGATGTTTTTTTGTTTTGTTTTGTTATTATTATTATTATTATTTTAAAGAATTGACTACATGAAATTTAGAGTTATAAGAAGGGTCAATTCGTCATTTGATAATCTTTTTTTTTTTCTCTCTGGAAGTTTGTATTAATTTTAACTCTTCCGCATATGTTATGTATTGAATCGAGCAGATTCTCAAATCTGGAGTAGACGCCAGGTTCCTCGGGTACGCTCTCTCTCTCTCTCTCCCCTGATTTCTAGATTTTTCTGGTTTCTACTTATGCAGTCTGCCTACATTTGTCATTCCAAATCCATAATTTCAGATCACTACTTCTTAACCTAAATCAACAGTTTCTTTTTTTTTTTTTCTTTTTTGATCTGACAATTCAGTTCATGGGTGGTCTAGATATGCTCTTCTTTGAAAAGTTTTCTCCTTTTTTTTTTTCCTTAGATTTGATCTGTTCGTCTCAGAAATTAAGGTTTTTGATTTTTGGGTCTGTTTTTCTATGATCCAGTCTAGCGATCTTCGTCTGTTTTGATTCTAATTTTGAGCGAGGTCTTTTGTTGTGGTGGCAATATCGACTTCATGTGATGTTTCAATAGCCATGAGTTTCAGTTCTAGAAGCTTCAAGATCTGTAATTTATGGCTCTCACCAAGTGGCAGTCTAATTAACTTGTCAAGATTAATGTTTTATCAACTCATTGATCCAAAATCCCAACTAAAACTCTTTGATCTTAGAGTTCTGTCAGTTTTGACATGGGAAGATATGCCATCCGTCTGACTATGCAAGGATGGTCTTGGTTTATATTTCTTCCTTTTTTTTCACTAGGCTTGTGTCCTGTCATATAAGGAAGGTTCTGTAATTGTAGTTCTGAACTCCAAATTCCCTTAGTGTGAACTGTGTCAGATTAAGAAATACGATGTTATCCATAGTATTTGCATGTTTTCTAGCCGTTGTTGAACATGGTAACTAAAGCTTAGACGAGTAGAAGTTAAAGGGTGAGGTGGTAAACATGGGTACTTTTTGTTTGGTAGATGGTTAGGTTTTCTTATTGGCTCTAGCGTAGCAATTGATATATATATATATATATATTTCTAATTCCATAACTGAACTTACTGTCGGAGTAGCTAGCCTTTATGGTAACTAAGGCAATCACCAAAGTTATGATCTTTCCCTTAACATTAATTTCAGAGTAGCTGTATCAGAATTTAGGAAATATGGAAGCCAGCAGGGGGCAGAATGGAATCCAACAATTGCTAGCTGCTGAACAAGAAGCGCAGCACATTGTCAATGCTGCAAGAAATGGTAAGCAATGCTGCCATTTTCTATATTTTTCATGCTTTTAAAATCTTTTATTAAGTGGTATTGCACTCATACCTTTAAAATCTTTATTTAGTGGTATTGCACTAAATGCAATGGTTGGTTTCATAATGGCTTTTAGTGTGAAAGTAGTCATTGCTTTGCTAGAGGTCTTGATGTGGACTTACATCTGTTTCACTTTCCAGCAAAAATGGCCAGACTTAAACAGGCCAAGGAAGAGGCTGAGAAAGAGGTTGCTGAATTCCGTGCTCAGATGGAACGTGAATTTCAGAGGAAGGTTGCAGAGGTATTTCATTGGTGAATATCCTTTCTTGGTTGGTTGAATCAATGAACCAAAGAAGTCCAATTCTCCTTGGTTCATACAACAGTACTTTACACAGTTTTAGATATTAGGTTCCAACCCATGGATTTGTTATGGCATAAAATATGTTGTGAATCTTGCTAATGGTTGAATTGTTTGTTCGATTTATGTATATCCCACATGAGTGTCTAATGATTATGTATAAAGCCTGAATTCTGCATTATGTATATCCCACATGAGTTCCATTTATGTATTTTGCATGTGCTAACTATTATGTATTCATGTATCATCAAACAGAGTTCTGGAGACTCCGGGGCTAATGTGAAACGGCTTGAACAAGAAACGGAGGCAAAGATCAGTCACTTGAAGACGGACGCTGCTCGGATATCACATGATGTTGTACAGATGCTTTTGAAGCATGTGACAACTGTGAGGAACTAGGATCTCGTGAGGTTGATTGGCTATTTATCTGATGCTTTGTAATGCCTGTGTTTCTATATTAAACTGTTGTTTCATGCTGGTGACAATTGCTTTCTCTTATTTTGTAAGCATTTCCTTTGTCCTATAATCTATTTATGTTGTGAATTGGCTCACTGTGTTTTTGTTATGGAATAAAAGCTCAATTTCTGCTCCTTGGCATCAGTGTCCAACAGCAGTCTCAGCTATGACAATCTAGGCTTCTGGATTCCGCCATACATTTAGAGAGAGGTTCAGTTGTGTAAAAATCATTCTTCAAGATCCTAGGATTTGCAGGATTACAGAACACAATTTTCTGTTCTTTTACAGGGATCTAAGTTTTTATTTACAAACTGGTATGACTACATCAAGAAGTCATATTAGTTCTAAAGACTTATCCTCAAAACTGCAGTGCCATTAAATCGTGCAGTATCTGCTCGAGCACTATCCCGCATGCAAATAATCCCAACCCAACAAGTGCAGGCTTCTTCCCGGATAAAGCCTTATGATCAGGACCCTCCCCTTCTTTTCCATGCATTGCCCAAGCCATTGCCGGTGGGAGAACTCCATACAGCACTGTCATGCAGTAGCCACCCTGCATCAATGTGCCGGAAGTTAATCAAATTTATCCCGCTGCTAACTCCTAACATGAATGAAAACATGCTTGCAAATCCAAGGCCAAAGGTTCTATATGAGTTAGGTTGAAACTATTTTCCATGATTCTGAATAAAAATAAACACTACATTCTTAACAAGGATTCAGTTATATTTTTGTTTGCTTATTGCCCCAAAACCCCTCTCCTTTCAACTTACAGCAACGTCTGTGGCCTCAGAAAATGCATCTGGAATGGCTGTTGAGACAAGAAGAGGTGGTGTGACAGCCATAGCCATTGCTGTAAAGTTAATTTTATTTCTTCCCCACCAATTTGTCTGGCCATTGTGCTTGTCTGCTCTCTGCTGCTTATCATGCACAAACAGTGTCTCATGTGAAGTTCATCAACCATTAAACTGAGAGAGAGAGAGAGAGAGAGAGAGAGAGAGAGAGAG